TCCAGTGAGAGGCACTTCCTGTTCCAAATTCTCTGTTTGTCTCTAGGAGGCTGTCGCTCACCCAATGTGATGCGATCCACGCATTACGCACTATACACATAACTGAATAAAATCGAATTCCACTGAGCGAAATATTGTTTACGTAAACCTGTTACGAGACAAGAAAGCGTTTAAAGATATAAAGATATCAGTAAGGGATATTGTAAGCTGTTTAGTATATAAAAAATGAGGTGGGCTTTTTGAAGCAAAACAGCACTTTCCCCTGTGAGGTTCAGAAGTTTATTTATTTTATATATATTCCATGCTGTCAGTAACGCAGATTATATAGCGTCGAATGGAAGGCTGATTAATGAATAATAAATTGGAAAAATTTTTAAGGAAATGGTCGTTGCTTACTTAGCCTACTGTCCTTATTTTTATAGAACATATATATGGTTTGTAAGTTTTGAGGTTTTCACGGCGATGACAATGAAGAAAGTTGTCTTCTGNATATATGGTTGTTTATCTATGTATCCCTACCCCCATTAACTTCTGAATACCTGAACCAATCCTTATGAAATTTGGTATGCATATCGTGGCACTTAAGAGAAGCTCAATGGCGTATTTCATAAATCCCTCCAATCAGTCTGTGTGTCTGTATCTATATCTCCCTATCGTTGATAGGCAACGGCTTGGAAAAATGTTAATGCGGCAAAAACGCGTGCAGAAATAGAAGAACTGTTGAACTCATCACTTGATAAGCGACCCGTCCCATTTCAAAGAAATCTGGGCGATTAGTTCTTCCCAGAACTTCTTGTTTGATGTGTCGTTCCAGCATTGCAATGGAGGAAATGTGAGAAGCCGTGAGAACACCTCAATGAGAATTCCCAATCTCCGGGCCGAGATTTCAGCCAGGACCACCCAAATGCGAAGCAAGTGGAGTGACTGTCTGGTTCAGCATTGTGTGTCAGTCACTGCTATTCAGTTTATCGACTGTAGCAAATATTTGGTCTGTTAAAAAGAACGGGATCAAAATATACACTCAGGAATCAAGCAAGGCTGTGGGACTCAGATATTGCAGTGCGAAGCCGCCGAAGTCCATGTGGAAAGGTCCGGAGTCTTGAAGACAAAAAAGTGACAATAACATCGAAAATAAATTTTGAATTAATGCTAAACTATTTTCATGATATTAAAGCAATCATTAGCAATGAATGTTTTCCCACAGCACTGCCAAATAACAAGATCTACGCAAGCTTAAATGCTACCTCAGTCGTCGAGAAATTCTACAGTCACTGCCCTCAGGTAAAGGAGATGACATTTCTTAAAACTTCTTCAAAATTAGTAATACGAAATTTATGCGACTACCGCTTAATGGCCACAATATGAGAAAAAATCAACAGAGTTACTCTTTATTTAATAAAATGGAACAAGGAAGAAAAGAAGTTTATGAAATGTTCTCATGCACTGCGTCTCCCCAAGAGACCGCTTTATTTACGGCAGTGTGTCCTGAAAAATGTCTAACCATTGTCTGTAATTGTGGATTCTTCAATATAAAAATGGGTTTCCCACGCAATATTTCCAGTAAAATGATTTTAGCCAAAAAATAAAGACCGATATTGAAACATGAATATTTTCGCCTGATTTGCCAAATGTGATTTTAATTTGTTCGAAAACAAACATTTCGTTAAAAATGCCTCAGATAATGTTGACATTATTTCAGTATATGAAGAGTAATATGAGGAAAATGCTGAAACAATTTTCGGAAATTCATTTCAAGCCATGTTTCTAGGCGTAACAAAGAAAGTGAAGCGAGTCAATGAAGTCAGAAGGTGAGGTCCTTGTCACGTTTCATTTGCAGATCAGTCAAGTTGTTTGTTAGATATCATACACCACTCTTGCATGATGGTCACAGTTTGGTTGTATTTTCCTTCTTCAGATGTACTGCTATTTTATCTGAGTGCATTTTGCAACGCCTCCCTACGTGGCATTATTAAGCGTATATAAAGTCAATGTCTTTGGTCATACTACGTCAATACAGTAGTTTAGCAGTACAATTGCACCTGAACAGAACACAGATCTAGTGAAGGATGCGATTAATTTAACTGGAATGGAGCTAGAGAAAGTGTCACACTGCAAAACAATCAACAACGCAAATCGGAGGATATTTTCTTATTGCAGTTAGAACAGTACGTAATTGTATGCCTGTCTCCAAACAGTAATTGTTGTTAAAGAAAAGTATAAACTAGAGTACACTAAGAAACATCTATTCGTATATGCATTATACAATTCTGTGCCGAGCTATCTTTGTGCTGGAAAATATGTAAATGTTTCGACTCACTCTTTGCTGGCTTCTGCTGTAATGAAGAAAGAGAACATGCTCTGGCTCTAATTATGCGAAAAAGGAATTGATGACAGAATAAACTACGTATTTTTTTTTAGTTTGAAGCCGCTGGCTGTGAATCAAAATATTTTAGGCGCTTTCGACTAACCTATAAAAACGACTTAATTACGTTTTAGCAATTTTAAAGCATCATTATTAATGAACATTGACGATACCTATGAAGCATTTTTAATATTAAATCTTATATCTGTAATTTAATGTAGAATTTTTAGATTGAAGTTATTTCCACATCTTTGCTATCGAACCATTTCTCGGTGTCTTCGGGAGAAAGGTTCTCGGCCTAGTGAAGGGCGGCATCCCCCAGCAAAAGAAACCCTGTGCCAAAGCATATTTCTCAACAATTTATTTCACGTTGATAGTTCCTTTGCTCCCCTGTTTCAGTGGGTATTGACTTCATCTCGTTGGGCTTGTCTGAGCAAACTTCTGATGCGAATTATCGAAGTATGTATAACGTGTAAGGGGTGGGCCTTCTCGGCCCTTGCACCGCGATCTACAGTGATCTGTTGTGCTTAATTACCGAAGTAACTGAGACTCTACGGAGCGGTGCTAAGCTTTTATGAAATTCGAGTCCTGAATGGAATCCAAATTCACTGCAGTGTTCACAAGAATTCTACTCTGGGCCCTATTCTGAACCGCTTGAAAAGGGTTCACATCATATTACCCATTTCTTTAAGAACTAAATTAATAATACCCTAACATCCGTGACTACGCCACCCTACCATGTGGCCTCTTCAAACGGAATTGAGAAAAGTAACACAGAACACACATTATATAAGATCCGATCCGCAGGCAGTGCATTGGGATGGTGAACAATGGAAAATTACATTTTCAGAAATGAGACCCAACGTCAGTCTTTCACTAAAAGGAGAGATTATGAATCGTTTCAAAGAAACATGTAAATGTGTTATAAAGAGACCTGTCAATATTTCATAACAAAATGGCACAATGTTAGTGACTGTTCCTTTCATATTTGATGCAACAGTACACCACACGCCTCGTGTATCACACTGGCTCTTAATAAGGCAAAAATCTGGAACTCATTAATTGTTGTTAATAATAATATATTATATTTTTCTTAACCGTTTGCCGCTACTATTTCGAATAGTTTTTTTTTTTAGTTATTTAGAGAGGGCGGGTTTCCCCATGCACCGCGACCAGTTTGATCTATTGTGCTTCCCTCTATGATATTCTACCAGTCTCTATACCCTACCGATAAATGGTGCGTACCATCAATCCCGCCGAGCAAGCGAGTTCGGCCACTTGCTTGGCGGTATCTATAATGCTTCCCCCATATATCAGAGGCCTTAGAGACTATTGTTGGGCGGTTGGCTCAGTGATCTCCTTTGGGGATATGAGGTTCTTTTACGTGCCGTAAAGTTACGACACGGGACACACAGCTTAAAGTCCCTCCGGGAGGACTTGTTCCCTGAATTTTTCCGCCCTTAAAAATTCTACGACCTCCGCCGGGTATTTGAACCCGCGTACCACGAGTCATGAGGTGGGAACTTTACCTCTAGACTACGGAGGCCGCTACTATTTCGAATAAGAAGTGATTAGCACAATTTTAACTCTGTAGTTTTCCTCGGAACATCCAAATGTGTGGCAAATTTATTAAAATATTGCAGAATTACTGCCATTTTGTTTGTTTGTTTTTTTTCGATATAATCCTTTAAAACCTCATGATCTCGTGCCTGAGGTGTAAACTTCCCACACTTAAGGTATATACTGCACAGACAACTGCAGAAGTTTGCAGCACATATTGACTTTGCGGCTCTAAACTTTCTATTCATCATGGCTGTCTCCAGATCGGCTGTGTGAAGAATCCATCCTTAAGTGAAATGGACATCGAAGTTTATTTCCGTAGATGTTAAGCAGTTGGAGCGTGAAGCTGGCGATTCGCTTCCATCTAATGCAGGATTGTGGAAGCATATGGCTCTACGTCCACTCCCTCGTGTGGCACATAAGAACAGGGAAACCTTTACCTGTAACTTACGAAACCCAAGCAACGGAATACATAGGAATAGCCTGATTTTCCCTAGGTGACTAAAAAGTGGGAAGTGTTTTCATAATTTGACAATTAATTATGGAACCCTTCATAACTACGTGTAACATTTATAAAAAGAGCCCGTTTATATCTGTAAGTTTTACTGTAATGTTTCATTCGTGTAATGGCTAAAAAGACAAAAGATAAAGATAGATTTGTGCTTGATTAAGCCTCACGCTTTGAAGAGGCGTGGGGGAAAGAAGACAGCTCAACACATTCTTGACTTCAGCACTATGTTCACGTTACCTTGACGCCCTCTGAAAGAGCCCAACGTACCCAATGGTTAGCAGCCTCTGCAGGCTCAAGATCTTCTTTCGAAATTATGGGGAAAAGAAAAGTCTCTTGCTCCTGTTAGTAATCGAACCGAGATCCCTCTTTTGTCAAATCCAAAGTCTGGTTGTTGTACCGACTGAGATACGTATCTTTTCACTTAATAATATATGAGGAATTGTTCTGATCACTCAGCAATGTGGAGCAATGCATCTCTAATAAGTTCAGAAAGAATGCCCTAAATAACGTAATTGTAAAACCGGTTTTCAATAGTCTACGACTGATTATCACTAATAAAATAATTACCTTAAGGTCCCCATCATATTTTAGTGCAGTCGACTTCTGTATCTGCAGTCAAGTCCAAGAAAAGCCCTTGGTACCTATTCTAATTAGGCGGCTGTCTTCGTTCCAGTAGCACTAATGAGCCATGCAAACAAAACACACACCAAGCACACACCACCCTAACTACAGCTAAAGTGAGAGTGATCGCTGCTGACGGCCACCCCACTCACTGCACACTCTCTGTTCTTTGAGAGGCGGGCGGGTACTTGCAACTTGTTTTATACGGCGCCGCCCCGCTGACCCACATAACATCTCCAACTCTCTTCTGGCTGGGTCTCCTCAGTTTTCACTCCACCCCCATGGCACACGCTACAGCCTTTCAGGTCCTGAAGATTATGCTGCGTTTCTTCGTATATTTAATGACTTTTTCACATTCATCTAATTTATATGTTATCGAATGAGAAAATGAATATAGTGAATTGAGAGGGATGTGAGAGAAGGGGATCATAGCATATTTCAGGGCTACTGCTCCAACATTTGCCTGGATGGTCTTGGCAAAGGCATAAAATTCTGCCATGATAACCAACCTCCAGGCCAAAATCTAATTCGGAGCCTCAAGAATATCAAGGACGAGTGATGACCCGTCAAAAAAAGATAATACGAGTACATTATTTTTGTTGTTGTTATTATTATTATTATTATTATTATTATTATTATTATTATTATTATTATTATTATTATACCAATACCGTGTATGTGCAGGACAAAGGCTCATTTTAAGAACATATCCAGAATAGTTCAACAGTCTCTAAACAGGGATGAAGAAGTGATGTTAATGCTGGAATAGAACAGGAACTAGGTAACACCTAAGGTGGCGAGAGTAACACAAAGACGATCAAATGTGTGATGTAGAAAAGTGACTTAGGAAATGAACTGAACTTCGGCACAAACAACAAAAGCAAACTGCGTGGCATGTAGTTTGCAAGCGAACTATACAGACCGAGCGACCGTTGCTTGTCGGCGAAGTTAGTGTCAGCTTTTGCGAATAGAGGGTGTCACGTGGTCAGCGCAACGGATCCCCGCGGTCGTTAATCTCGGTTTTCTAGATCGGAGCCCCTATTTCCTCGAAATATCTGCTCAGTTATCCTCACGAGGCTGAGTGTAACCCATTCCAGGCCCACTATTTCTCAGAAAATCTGGTAGCACCGAGAATCGAACCCAAGCCCTCTGTATCTGTATCCAGGAACTCTGACCACTAGGCCACAGAGGCGGTTCAACTGACTTCAGCACATTGTCATTACAGTTAAACTGCGGGTTGTATTACACATATCTCATTCAAATTGTTACGCGCTTCTCTAAAAGTGTCAATAAATATAAAAGTTGCTTTAGTAGCAGAGGGACAGTGAGTACAGGGGACAGTGAGTGCAGGGGACAGTGGGTGGTAGGGGACAGTGAGTGGCAGGGGACAGTGAGTGCAGGGGACAGTGAGTGCAGGGGACAGTGAGTGGCAGGGGACAGTGAGTACAGGGGACAGTGAGTGGCAGGGGACAGTGAGTAGCAGAGGGCAGTGAGTGGCAGGGGACAGTGAGTGCAAGGGACACTGTATTCCGAATGGAGACATGAATGGCAGCCGTTTAAGGATCTAGGGATAAAATTTAATGCCATTAGGAGCATGTGTTGTCGGTGGCGAAAATGAGAGTGGTATTAATGTAAATATTGTGCTTCTAAATGATAAATATAATCTGTATTAATGAAATTATTAATATTGTTGTTATTATTTTTATTATTATTTAAGTTATAAAACTTGCCTTTGTTTTTTGTATTTTGTTTTGTGTTTCGTTATTTTTCTTTACCGGTGCTGACTTCATAATTTGTCTTTGGGCTCCTAAATTAACAGATAAATAAATAAAAATTTAGAACTGAATTAAATTAAATTATTATTACATGTATCTGCGTATATGTATATGTATATACGTAGTATGTATTATCACGTGAAGCGTGGTACGCGTGACGAAAATAACGGGTTGTAGTTCGGATGACTGGCTTTATTAGCACCTTTGTTACAAGTTCTCTTAATCACACTTAAATACAGCACTATCGCTGATTGCACACTTTCCAATCATCGTTGCCCATGCACTAGGATTCCCAGTCTTCATTAGTCGTGTTCTGTCAACGGATTTCAAAGCATAAATTAGCACTTCAAATCACTATGGAGTCTTCTTGCTACTTCGTCTTCAGTCACTCTGGAACCTCGGAACTAGCAATTCTTCTGGACTCACTCCTCCAGTTTACGGCTGACTCGTAACTGCCCTTGAACTAACTCTGTCACTGCATTCACTTCTCTTATAAGCACTCTGCACAGACCTCACGGAAAACACCGTCTCTATAGTTACTGAGGTCACTGCTTACTCGGAAGTGTGTTTACCGAGTCGTTGCTTAGATACCATTAACAGCTATAGCTTGCTAATAAACTTGCAACATTATGTACTAGTTCAGCTCACAACTCATAAAAAAAACAAAATCAGGAAAGTAACACGAAACTTTATTTTTATTTTTACTAATGAAAAGAAAACGTGCTTTTGTTTGTTGGTATCATGAACATATTTTATTTACAATTTATAAAATTCATAAGTTTTTTATATAATTTCTGGCATAGTTGAGTGTAGAGAATTGTGTTGTTCACTATTAACTTATTCATATTATACCATTATATTTTTAAAAAAATTAAGGGAACTTGAAAGGAAATATTATTTGAATTTAAAATTTCATAAAATAGTCAAATATGAATTTTCTTGCCAGGAAAGAAACTTTATAAGTTTCTTCCCTTCTTTTCGTTTTTCTTTCTTTCTACTTTCTCTTTCTACTTTTCTTCTCTCTTTATACTTTTTTTTTCTAACTACTTATTTCCATCTTTATTGTATATTTCTCGGGTATTTTTCTTTCTATTTACCCCTCTCCCTGCCATTCTGACGTATAATAGAGAACTACGTCAGCGCAAATCTTGGTATAGTTCGAACTAGATGCTTCAAGATAAGAAGGGCGCAGGCAACACACTCTTGACATTACGGAGTGCCGTCTTCAGACGCGAGGCTTGCATTGGCTGTGTTCCAAAACCCAAGCGTTTCACAGATACATCTTTTGTTCCTGGGTTTGAACTCGAGTCACTTTCACCTCTGCACACGTAACGTGAAGACCGCAGAAACATTCTGCGTCTTCTTTGCACCGTTACATGAACTTCAAAATGCAGTACGGCTGGAGGGTGGGTACATTCTATTGCAAAATGGAGTGTCGTGTGATTAGTTAAAGCTGCTAAGTCGAGAGAGGGAAGAGGGCCTGTTAAGTTCTCATTTCGATTTTATTCATCAATTTTCCCTGCTTAATGAAATGTGGGCAACTCTCCGAAACTTGTGAATGGATTCGGATTAAATTTACGCAAAATAGCAGTGTTAAACATATTTCTTCATATTTTCGAAACAAATATCGTACATGAAGAAAGCAGTCTTCTGGGATTTGGCACCGTGTATATGTGGTGTTAACCGACGTTTCGGAGGAACGTATCNGCAATTCTTACAAATATCGTACAAATTAATGATGACTTCCGAATCTCGATTATGTGCAAGGCAAAAGCATAGATTAACAACACCTCTAATAAGTGCAGAGTGTTCGTTCAAGATTTGTGTAGATCAGGATCCAGCAACCAGCTCCACGGAGCCAAGTCCCTTTCAAGCTGCTACTGGGCTCTGTCTCAGCCACATTTCTAGTCCGTACCCGCGCCCCGCATTTCTATAAGATTGACTTTAACACACGTCTTCCTCAGGCACCTACGTTTCAGATTTCCTGTATTTCACCCATGTACGCTAAATGCCTTGCCTCTCCTATCCACGTTAATTTCATTACCTGAATAATATTTTGTCAATCGTACAAAACGTGAAGGTCTTCGCTATTCGGTTTTCTCCAGCATCCTGTTAATTTCTCTCCCTCTTCGATACAAACATTCATCTCAGCACCCTGCTGCTAATAACCATCAATTTATATAATTAGGAAACAAAGTCCCAGCCCCATAAAATATAACATTTATATGTAAACCTACCCCTGTAACAGGCCGTAAAAGCCCATAGGTTTGTGAAAGGTTGAGGCTCCCAAATCTTCTAGACAATCGGCTCACAGATGGCGGTAAAGCTGTTGGCCTTAATCGCCGGCCGCCTTTAAGCCCCCAGGGAGATTCCTGGTACTCATTCCTGTTAGACGCTGAGTCGATCCCAGGGCCATAGTGCGGCTGGAAGGATTAGGCAAATTGAAAAAAAATCAACCTCATCACAACTCGAACTCGCGACCTTCCGGCTTGTAGCATAGTGCCTCAACCAACCACTCTACAGCGTACCCCTCAACAAGTATATGTAAATCAATTATTTTTATATGAACCTAATTCTGAGTTTCATTTGAAGCTGATTTTATAATTGACACAAAATAAAACAATTTAAGTTCCTCCACAGCATTTAATGTGCACTGCCAACAAAGAAAAAAAGTCAAAATTCTTTTAATAATTAATCCCATATAATGCTAACTGAAGTAGACTGATATGAAGGAACATTAAAATCAAATGACAGATTCTACACAGAAAGTGGAACTCCGTCAAGTTTCGGTGTTAGACTGATGAACTAAAAACAACAAAGGCAGAATTATGAGGGACCTCTTGCTTTGTTCCAGTGCTCCCATAACTTTCTCATTTTCATCTTATTGTTAAAGGATGTAATTTTCTTTTTCTCTTATTGTAATTGCTAGAAGCACGAATCAATAATGTATAGGGCAAAGTTCTTTAAATAATATTTTAAAAGTCGTTGTTTCCTCCGAGCAAGCACAGAACATCTCCATGGTAATCAGTTAATAATGTTTAAGAAAGCAATGACTCTTCTTGGAAGAAAAAAACGAAAATAAGCTGTGAGTCGTGTTATTCAATAGTAAGACAGTATATACAGGGTGTAAATAAATATTTGTTACAACACTCTGTGGTAGATAGATGGGTTCAATCTGATCATAATTTGTTATTACATCCATGTCCGGAAACGCTTCCTTTTGGCACTAAGGTTCAAAAAGTTTCCGAGAGGATGCATAAGTTTTAGGGGCTGTTATCGTTGTTTTACATTGTAAAAGTTGCTCAAAATGGTAGCCGTCGACTTCATTGCATGTTCTGTACCGCCTGGCCATGTTTTGCTGAACTCTTTGAAAG